AAATATTCGGCCTTTCCCCCATAATGGCACCAGCTTCTTTGATTATTTGTCATAATAACTAATTATATCTAAGGGTGCTTTCTCTTGTTATCAATTATTTATTGCATCTTCTAATCAGGCGGTCTTGTTTGGTTGTTCTTCAACTCCCGTCAGGAATTAGGGATAGGAAGACTTCCACTATGAAGTCACAGCTGTGGGCCGTGCTGGCCACTGTTGTCAGCCTTGGACCATGGGCTACCGTTGCACTTGACGGTTCCGATCTTGATTCTATTGGTAAGATTTTATCATATCTTTTTGGAAAAGAAACATAGAGCCATTTCCACTAACCGACTGCGAACATGAATGTGGTTTTGGATAGAATCCACCAAGAGAGCTGCGGCGGCTGTAGCTCAGGGCGCCGTTAAATACTACAAGGGCGACCAACCCGGCCAAACTGTTGGCATTCTCCCAGAGCCGTATTTTTGGTGGCAATCAGGTGCAATGTTAGGAACGCTAGTGGACTACTGGCACTATACGGGAGACTCAACCTACAACAACCTGGCCAAGGAGGGGATGTTGTCACAAAAAGGCGAGCAGAATGACTTCCAACCCGCCAGCCAGTTAAGGAACTTGGCGAACGATGACCAGGCCATGTGGGCTTTGGCAGCTTTATCGGCTGCAGAATTCTCGTTCGACGCTCCCGGATCTGATCAACTGCAGTGGGTGGATCTGGCCAAAAACACTTTCGAAGCACAAGTTAGGCGTTGGGACAACGAGAAATGCGGTGGAGGGCTCAATTGGCAAGTGAATCGTAGTAATAATCCGACTGCTAGTTACAAGAATAGCATGGCCAATGGCGCATTCTTTGAGCTAAGTTCGAGATTGGCAAGATACACGAAAAACGGAACCTATTTAGACTGGGCAACAAAAACATGGGATTGGATGTCTCATGTCGGTCTTTTAACAAAAGACTTTAAAGTATTTGATGGTACCGATGCTGAAAAGGATTGCAAGCAGCTTAACCACTTCCAATGGAGCATTAATGTCGGCATCCTTTTGTCTGGTGCCGCTAATTTATACAATACGGTAGGAAATTCATCTTCCAATTTGCCCCTTTGCCCCCCATTATTGTTTTCTCATTGCTGACACCACGTGTTAAGACGAATGGAGATCCAACCTGGAAAACTCGCGTCGAAGGCCTGTTGAAGAGCACGGACGAATTTTTCAGCAAAAATGTTATGATCGAACCAGCCTGCGAAGCCAACAAGAGATGCAACCTTGACCATAAAATCTTCAAGGTGTTTTTGTCACGGGCTCTTGGAACAACGGTGAAGCTTGCGCATTTCGCAAAGGCCATCGTCTTGCCAAAAATCACCGCATCCTCCAGAGCTGCAGTGGAAAAGTGTGAAAATGAAAATGGCATTCAACGGTGCAGCTTCCATTGGCTACATAAGGACGATGACACTGACAACGACCGTGACGAGAGTGATGGCAATAACAAAACTCTTGGAGAGCAGCTGTCCACCCTCCAAATTATTCTAGCAAGCCTTGCCGCACGAGGAGATGGTTCTGCCCCTGTCACCCAGTTGCCCACTGGGAAGTCACAAGGTGATGGAAAGTCAGGCGGAAATTCTGGAGGAACACCGACTTCTGGAGCTCCATCAAATTCTTCATCTCCCGGCATTGCCTCGTCGGTTATGGATTTGAGCTTCCAGAAATGGGATGCCATCATTGCTGTTTTTGGGTTGTCAACTATGCTTGGGCTTGTGATGTGACACTGTAATGGATTGATGAAACAGAAGTTTTTTGAAGACAAACCCTTTAAAAAAACCAGAGGATTTTGTCTTCAGTTGCGTCCAGGAAAACAACTTATTCCCATGTCATTCTTTGACAGTTTCAACATCCCTCTTTGATTTACATAATTCATGGCATGTCATTGGCAGAGCCCTATGATACTTGAATTGGGGAAAGAGTGTTAATTTTTTTTTATCACCCAAGAGTTCAGAAAGATCTCGTTAATCTCACATTGAAAGGTTCCCCTTGCCCCCTCTACACTTATTTGCGGTTTTTCGCTGGGCCTCGTCGTGCTTCGTCCCGCCCATTTGTGGAATGTATACAGTCGTGAACTTACTAATATAATCTATGTTTCCCCAATCAACCTCGTTAACTCAACATGCCCGGTAACCGTCATTGAAACCTGGGAGAAGAAAGCCCTTCAAAAGATGCGACAGTTATAGTGTTATTTTCAGTTCATCGTTATCTATCCTTTTTTTTGATTGTTAGTATTTACTTAACAGGATTCTTAAGATGTTTTCACGATTCTCCTTGTCGCAGCCGGAGAGACTAAAACAAGACGATTCGCCGCTTACCCTCCACCATTTTAGCGAAACGGTATGAACCTGCTTGTCTGGACTATTTCTGCCTTTCTTTCCTTTCTCCTCAAGAAATAGATATTATAAGAGAGAGCCAAAACTATTCCTCTATGGTACCTGCACAGAAACATGTGTCAGGAAGAAGAGCATTTCAGTGCAGCCCCTCTACGGTCATATGCCGGCTTTATGAATACTTTGACGAAATGTTTGCTCATTGGAATGGACTTGGCTGTCTCTGGAGACAATCCCAACAGTATATCCGGGCATACCAGAATCCCAGGATAAAAATCCTTCTAGACATGCATTTCTTGCAGGTGTAAACGAGTGAAAATGGGACTGTCTTATAGTGGCCGTGCGCTCATGTCAGTTGAAGAAGCTGCGGAAGTTGGAAAAGAAATAAACGGGAAAAGAGAGGGGTAAAATAAGGAAGTTTCGATGTGGGAAGGGCGCTGCCATCACAAAGCATTCTTACAATCATTCTATGATAGCTCATGGACACTACATGACGGTGCATCAGCATTCCAACATTATTGAGGTCACGGTATTTGGGCTGTTAGCATCCCGCTGAGTACAGGCATTTTGGCAATCACGAATCATCATGTTTTGATCCTGATAAGCCCAATTGTCACCGCACTGGATGTCCTTATTAGGAGCTAAAATAGCTCGCATTAAACCTTTTCTGATGGCATTTAGTTGCCATCCCTGTTTCGTATTCAAGGTAGGATGTTGTCATTGATGGAACAAGCATAAATGAAGCAGTTATAAATAGTACCGTTCTCTCTTAAGCGGATGACTTATTTCCTATTCGCCGGCTGAGGGTGATAACTATCGGCTAGACGGGAGAAAATGGCGAATTATTCAGGTAAAACAACTCTTTTTTAGCGTAACTAGTAGTTGGTGATCGAAGGGATAGGCTGGCAAAATCACCCTATCACTGTGTATATATTTTAACCTTGTTATTTGAAGCGCATTCTGCATTTCTTTGATTCGTTTCCAGTGACTCTTAGCTCCCGTTTCCAAGCGGAAAACCCCTGAGAATAGAATGGAAGTTAAAATATGGTTAAATGTTATGCTTAAAGTTACTGAAAACTTTAAAATTAGAGTTAAACGGTGCGAGGATATAGCGAAGAAATGTTACCCGGCAAAAGGCCAGCACTCTATACTTGGACAAAGAACGAGTACCATCCCATAGGGATCACCTGATCCAATAACAGAAATCAACCTCAGTAATAAGGTAGATCAACATATACAGTTCGAACACAAATTTTCCATATTTTGTTCACCAAATATACATCGATGTCAATTTATCAGGAATGAACCTGCTGCAAACCTCCTATTGAGATCTCAACGAACTTGGGATTTCGAGCTCCAGGTGAGCCAGCTTTTTTTCATGGAACCATTGGACTAAAAGATGAAACCAACTTTGTCCTATCCGATTCTAGAACATATATTTAATCATCAGTCATAGAATTAAAATGGATATCCTAGAGATTAGATATTCTTTCGTGTCAGAAGATCATCCATATGGTGGTGAACATCTTCTACACTTTCTTTACGAGTATTTGCAGCAGTATAAAGCCTATTTTATTTTAACGAAGCGTTGAAAACCTGCTACTTATCTGTCATATTTCATACTACTTCACTCTTTAAGTATTACTTGTTATCAGTATTTTCGGCCATCCCACTATTTTTTTCTGGTGGCAGTGAAAGACAACTATGACAGTGTGGATGAAGAACAGATGTGATGTTAAGCTTTAGGTGCTGCGGTCAGTTACTGCTGGGTGTGTTTGGTCTTCAAGCTTAATAATGCATGCCAATACCTTATCTAATACAAATGAGGTATTTCACATAGTAACAGACTAAAGAGTGATATTTTTGGCCACGGTGCCTGCACACGGGACAGTGAGAAACTACTCGATTGATTCGTACGTAGCGGGAGCTAAGCTATGCGGATGCATAAATCTCAAGTTTTGAACCAAGATAAAATAATCATTTAAATCAGGATACAATATGAATAGCTAACATAACCTCCAGCGGGATTGACGTTGCTGCATCCGAACTTTTGGTTTTGTGAATAGAATTGGACTGACTGAGAAAAAGTGGAATCATAAATATTTGTTACATCAAGTGTGGACATATACAAGAAGAGGAGTAGATGAAGGTTGAAAAGAATCGAAGGTATATATACATATGTCAAACAGGCACGTGGCATAAAGAGGAGCATTTATGTGGTTGAAGTAAGACGTACAGTGGAAGTAAGAAGGGGTGGTAAATGTTGTAATTCTCACAGGCGTGAAGCATTGATGATGACTGGGTCGAGAGAGAAAACATAGAAGCAAATGGTTGACATTAAAACGTGGAAAGTGTCAGTATAAGCATAACCGTACAGTTCAAAAGAAAAAGGTACCATTCTTGTTTCTGGACTGTACCAGTTATGCTAGCACATCGCCCTTCTCATTCGATACACCGAGACAAGAAAAAGAAACCATATCATGGAAACGGGTATATAAGATGAGAAAATAAAAATTAAAGACGATAAAAACAAGCATAAAAAGGAAGTGGACAATGGGGAAGAATTATCGACAACTTGGTAAGCAAAATATGGAAAAGACAGAAGGAACATAAACATACGAGAATAAATCGATCTTTTCACGCGACCGCTAGGACAGCTTTCAGGTTTCCCATGAACCGATCCTTCAATCTGTCTAGAGGACCGTTCATATATTTCTCAGAATTTCTTCTCTCCTGCTGGCTTTCCTCGTTGTGGCTTCCCCTCCTCCTTGGTCGATCTTCCAGTTGCTCTTCAGGCCTTCTCGATCTTCGATGTTCTCTTCGACGCCTCTCACCATCGTCGATTGAGTTTCTTGGCGACTCATCCTCGTGAGGTCTTGATTCTTTATCACTATGATGTCGATGCCTGTGATGTGAGTGGGAATGCGAGTGAGAGTTGGAATGGGGCCTCGAATCACTTGACGAGTCTGATGGGCGAGAGGCAGATAATCTTCTTGTCTCGTATTGATTAGATACGTTAAGTATCAGTAGGGGTCCGTTGGTTTCGGATTCTCCATTAGCAATAAGCCTAAGCAACGCGACTGGTTTGGCTGCTAGAGCCGACAAGGTATGAGAGGTCGAATTCCGTCTGCTCTCAGCAGCACCAGAATGGCGGCTTGTATCAAGTAAATCATTTGCCGTGCTCTGTCTTCTAGTTCGTAATTCACTCTCTCTGCGACTGTCCATTCTCCTTCTCTGTTCAGTCCTCTCTTCATCGGAGCTAGGCCTTGACGATCTTTGTTTCTTTGCTTCAACAGCTTCAGAGAATGGGTTAGAGAAAAGCCCTCGCTCACTCTTTCGGCGACGAAGAGCATGACTATCAGAAGAGCCCTTGGATCCCCGCCTTTCACGTTCCCACTGCGATCGATGCCGCCGCTTTTTCCGCCTTGTCTTGGAGGATGCAACAACATCTGCAGACTCCCCTAATGGAGCATCGATTAAGACTTCTGCATTGGTGATTTCAAGAGTTTCACCACTTGTTTCGTCAGCAGGAGGCCATTCTGCGGGAACTTCAACAGAAATTGCCTCTGTTAGCGATTCGTCTAGTGCAGAAGGCACAGAAGACGGCTCTTCAACGAGTTCCTCCGGGGCATGATCTTCTGGAGAGGCGTCTTCGCCTGGTGCATTTTCAGATTGCATCGATTCTTCCGCAACTGGCCCCTCTGCGGTGGCTTCTTCTGCGACTAGTTCTTCAGCAGAATGATTTTCTGTGGGAGACGATTCTGTCGCCGCCAGGTCTTCAGCGGGAGGGTCTTCAGTGGGCGGGTCTTCAGAAGGCGGGTATTCAGCAGGCCGGTCCTCAGCAGGAAGGTCCTCAGCAGGCAAATATTCGACCGGAGAAACTCCCACTGGGTTATCTTCGACAGGCGGATCATCACCTTGTGAGTCACCGGTGGTAGTTTCTTCAGGAGCGGCCTCCATAGTCGGTCCCTCAGGGATAGACTCTTCTGCTGGAAAGGCATCTTCAGCGAGAGACTCTTCAACTGCGAGTTCTTCCTGAATAAGTTCTTCGACGGCAACTTCATACGAAGCACTATCCGCTGGTGAATCATCATCATACGTCTGTTGGTTTTCGGTGGGAGGCTCTTCTTCAGGTGTGACTTCCGCCGGTGGCTCATCATTTGGAACCTCTTCTGGCAAAGACTTTTCTTCATCTGATGGATCTTCAACAGCCGGCTTTTCTAGAGGACTCGGCTCTTCATCGGGAGGGTCCTCGGCAGCGGGTACCTCCACTGGGTCTGAATCTTCCATGGGATTTGTTGCGGTTGGTTCTTCAGCTGGGCAATCTAGTTCAGTTCGTGGGTCTTCAGCCGGAGCTGCGTCGGATGGTGTTTCCTCTGACGATTCGGGGGAGTCTGTGTACTCCAAAGAGTATTCCGCTGGTTCCTCATGAGGTCCTTCAGGTTCGTCTTGCTTTTCTGGCTCAAGGGATCCACTTTCAATGGGATTTCTTGGTTCGGTAGTTTCAGAATTTTGTTCGTCGATTTTGATCAGCTCATCTGGAGTGGGCATATCCGCTTCAGGGATATGGCGTTCATCTGTGAGTACTTCGGTCTCTTTGGCCTCATCCATAGTTTCTTCTGTGTCCTCATCGCAATACTCCAGAGTTAAGGTGTCGTCATCATCATCATCATAAATAGCCTCTGCTTCCGCCTCCTTCTCCGCCTCAACCTGATCTACCTCAGCTTCGGGGTCCACAGCTGGAAATTCTGGATATTTTGTGCTTGTCAGTGTCGTACCCTCCAAATAGTAGAGATTTATATTACCGTCATTATCAAAGTCCCCAGTGCTATCTCCGATCCCATGATCCTCGAGCCCAGTATATTCCGGACTTTTACCATCCACGGGAGGGTCAGCATCTTTGTTTTGAGCCATTTCATTTTGATTTCCCTCATCCGCCCCCAACTCATCTGTGGTGTCTGCACTGCAATCCTCATCTCGCAGTTCTTCATTATTTTCCTCCATTACCTGCTCTGCTGCCTCTCCGACTGCTTTTGCTACCTCCTCTGCAACCTCCTCAAGCTCTTCAGCAACTTCCCGCGCCTCCTCAGCAGGCTCCTCCTCAATCGGTTCCGCTTCTAGTTTTTTCTGAGCTTCCTGCTCAGATGTACCTGAAAGAGAGTCAGTAGGAATGTCCGTGGGTATCATTTCAGATAAAGGTATCTCGTCTATATTTGCATCTTCGCATATCAACCATCAATTCGGAATCCCCTAATTAGAATATACCATAACGCACCAAACGAAATAAATTATGGGTGATACATGTAAAACACGTCTAGAAGCAAGGAAAAGTTGAAAGGGGTGAGAGAGATGATGAAGAAAATTAATTACGTACCATTGGGGGGCTCGGGAAGTGAGGCACTTTCAAGGGGTGAAGTAGGTTCAGTTGGGTCAGTCTCTGATGGTTCATCCTGACCCTCATCCTTGTTCGACTCAACGTCAGCATTGACTTTATCATTGTCGACTGTTCTTCCTTTATCAAAGAGAGGAATGACCGGGACGTTCGAGAACTTGAGAGTCTTAAGGTCGAACGTCTGATATGTAAATTGAGGGAGTTTTGCATACTCGAACTGAGGCTTTGACATCTTGAGGGGGTGCGGCCACTAGTCCAGCACCATCTGGAAATGAATTGGGATTGATATCGTTGTCAGTGTTGGAAAGATTTGTGAAGTTGGGAGGGTGATTGTTGTTTTGTTTCTTTAACTTCTTTTTCTTTCCCCCCATTTTTAACTGGAGAATGATATATGAGAGTAAAGGAAGGCACAGGGCGCTGGCATGGGGATTCGCCGACTTAAAAGTTTAGTAAGGTGAGGGGTGAAAAATTAGATGAGTCGTCAAAGAGAGTGACACATGAAATGGCCAGGTGGTAGAAGTGTAAGATATGAGAGGAGGGAGCTGGCGAAGAATAGCAAAGGAGGCAATGTAATAGGGAACGAAAATGCAACAGAGCTCATTTCTGACTGCCCTAGCACATGAAGCAGAAGGTATCTTCCACTGGGGGCGTGGTGGAGGCCCTGTCAAGACGAATTCGCGACCTGCTAGGGGCCAGACAATTTCATCGTCCAATTCGTGGAGGCATCATAGGTTATTGGGCCACGTCTCACGACACGACCGGATTCTCGCCAATTTCACAGATATGTACCAACGGCACTAGAGTGAGTTGCTGATGCAAGTCCTAGAGCCGAAAGCATGCACGATGCTGTAAGCATGAGGGGCTTGGAAAGGTGAAATCAAAATCAGGAGGAAATAGATGAATACTAGAAAAATTAAAAAAAGGAAATAAAAGAAGTCAAAGCAAACCACGCAAAAGTAGAAAACCATTAGAAAATAAGCAGTATTAATATCTTTCCAATCAGGTGGTTCAATCAATTGAAATAAAGACGGCAGAACTTCGCCTAGTCTTCAGTTGACCCACAGCTAGAGGAAGAAAGAACTCCATAACTAAACAAAGAAAAGGGCCAGAAACATCAGCTAGGGCAATGCCTTACGATAACATGCGAGACAGGTGGCATGTTGATTTTTGCCCTTGGAAATGATTTCTTTAGGTTTCTGCCCAACGTCTCCGGCAATTGGTTCCGGCTGGGGTACGGCGGAGCCATTGCAGCAGTTCTCCGCCGGGTTATTACTGGCTTGGCTTCAGTCATTCTTCAATAATCCAGCCGCGAGATTACATTGTACGCGGGGTGGCTGGGACTGATCACGCATAATGATAGGTGAAGCACGATGGAGACTGGTACCATTCACAGAACGGCTATCCGCATGAATATAGCAGGGCAGAATGGCGCCAGAGAGTGGAGCTCTACGGGACCAGCCATGAAAATACTCCATAAAGAATAAAGAATAGTATGCTTGAGGATTAAGCAGCACACAACCAGGCATAGAATGCCTATTCCGGAACGTCTCGATCATCAGAAGGAAGCCAGTTGCATAGAGTTGGAGGTTGCGGCATCAAATCAAGAGACCTCAGCCTTTACGGTCAGCAGTTGACGTACCGGACCAAGGGAAATAAATGCAAGATGCAGTCAAGCAAATGTGGAGTTTTGGAGTCAGAGAAGCGAAACAGAAGAAAATGGATGATTGACGTTGAGGCAGCAAGTGAGGTGAGATCAAAACACTGGCCCAGTGACCTGAGCCGACCTCATTGGCCATCAACGCTTGGCATCCACCCCGATTGGATGCCTCACGCGTGCAGATTGCGGCCTGATATCAGCGGGAAATCTGGCTTTACGTATTGTACCAGTCCGCCCAGGGGTTTGGGACGCTGATAAACTTCAGACCAATGCCTCCTGATCGCATTAAATACGTCGCTAGTTGTTTCCAATCAAGTACGGAGTAATTTTGGCTCGAAGCTTCCCACTTGCAGCCTCAAGGTTCGAATCGATCTTTACCGCGATATTTTTCTGTATAGAAAGAGGGAGTTGACGTGGTAACTATCATCTCTACCATCTCACTGAATAGTTATTGGGTATGCGGTTCCACTACACCTTTGTTATGACCACCCAGCTGCTGAAAGCAGAACTCAGGAGAAATCAAAATTTCCCTTTCGCTAGTCTATAAATATCTCCTGCGTTGGGGACCTGATGGTCAGGCATAGTCGCCCACCAGTAGCTGATTTGCACAGTCAAGGTGACCTGCAGCTGATCTGTGTACACATCGAGGACGTTGTTCCATCGAAACTAGGTCAATTTGAAACGTCGTGGAATTCAGGAAACATTCATGTCTCCTTCCACCAAGTGGCATCAATCATGGCCTTAATGAAGGATGGATCTGGGCCTCTGCGACCCGAGAGCGGTGTTCCCAGCCCATCTGTGCAAATGCATGAATAAATATCTTGAGTCTCTTCGTACTTCGTACTTGATTGGAAATAATCGGTTGAGCCAATCATATACTCCGCCTCCGCGCCAAAAAGGGTGCCTTAAACAGTACATTACTGTAGATCTGCACCCTTCACCACACATATCAGATCACATCACGTTTATCCTTTTACAAACCCAAAAAAGCTTCCTGAGGGCAACGAACACGAAGTTAACCCAAAATCACTGGCCAATCTGATTAGGGGCAAGGGGCATACGCGGAAGTGCTGACTCAGTGGTCATTTAGAGTCAACTCTTCTTGCAGCAATCCTCAAGCCTGCGGAGGCAGAAGGGAAATTATGTCGCTGATGCCATTTCATAAATATCTCAGACATTCATTCTGAAACAATGGCCAGTCTCAATCTTCCCATATCTCCTCGTATATCAAGCCTAGAAAAGAACCCTCATCAATTTGGGACATGTATAGAAACTAGGACACGGGAAAGCATTCCCGCACATGCACTGTATCAACCCCATCACCTACCTAAGCACTCCTTCACAAGAAGACCACGACATAAAAATCAACGGCCAAGGACCTGTTTCCCCGTCTTGTGGGAGGGACAAAGTAAATTAATCGATAACTCAGTAGAACAAAACTCCCTCAGGCCCTTAGAAGAAGGGAATGATTTCCTAGTTAGGCCGCGTACAGATAACTATCCCGAGGGATACCAAAGTTTCTCCACCCTGTTGCACAATCACGGACGCTGAAGTCAACGTGGCAAATGAGAGCTACCTGTTGATTTCGTGATACTCTCTCCCTGCGGGATGTTGATCCCCCACGGTTGCGACGCGCCACCCGCTTTCAACGTTTTTTCTCTTGCCTACTATTCTTCTTAGATGATAGTTCCCGTTCGATGAAAAATGACGCCCATAGTTAAAAACCATGAAGTGGCACGGATTAATATTTGTCCCGCGATGACAACACTTTCAACCAATTCCAACCTCTAAGCTGCAGAATGCCTCAACTTCAGTTGATCTATATCCCTTGGACATGCAATATTCTGCGGCTATGTGCAATGTTTCTGAACCCTAGCTATATGCAAAGAAAAAGAAACCGCGTTTCTAAAGCCATCGATTCGCGGGTTGTGCTCTCCTAGCACTTAATATGTCGTTGATTGGTTACAATGTAGCTCTTGGCCCTTCCGAGACCGGGTGTAAGATTCCATTCGTTATAACCCGGTTACCGGCCTTGCCGCAAGATAATGCTGTGTATGCTGATGTTCAACATCAGAAATGATCAAACGTTATACATTTTCGACCCCGCCTGTTGGAGGGAAAAGCAAATATTTTACAAGAGGACGTATGTGACGTCACCCAACACCAGCGGAGGAAGTTCTTGACCTTCTGTCGCTTCCTGCGTTAAACCGGATGGATGCATCCAAATATACGTATATGCGTATATAGGTAGAAAAGTATGCGCGTAGATAAAAAATGGAAATAAGATCATTCTTAAAAACTTTTATCATTGGATAACTCGTAGATGGTTTATCAGAAATGAATCCAGAGGTCTGTATTCTCAAAACTGTGACAACGGAGTTACCATCAGCTGGCATTGAAGGATATCGCTGATAAGATCTTGTTCTGATACACGAAATGGCTGCCCACCTTAAATCAACTTCACACATCCCCAGCCCAAATTAAAAGAATCATAATTACCGTAAATCAATCGAATTGAAGAGCACATCCTAGCCGACTCAATCAGCAAAATTTACGGAGGTCATCCAACGTAAATATTTAGTCACAAAACCACGATAGTAATAGGATATTGAAGATGTCGAATTAGGGACCATTGGTTTATTATGGCCCTATCCTTACCAACATATGTATTAAATAGGATAAACATCATAGAATAGGCAAAAGATACATATCTACGATTACTGCAAAAGAAAAACAAAGAAACTTCTATTGTTCTGTGATGTACTGAATCTTCTACGTATAATTCTTCCCCATTTTGTATGCTACCGCTCCATACTATGCCAACGCTGATCAAACATCAAGGAGTAAACAATGGAATCTCGGTGATAAACAAGAAGCAGATAATATGGAAAGGAGAAAGGGAACAAGGACCGCTTTAAATCTATTTTAGATGGAAAAAAAACCCGCCGGACGATTCACCAAATGGATGTTGAAGTATCCTGCGAATGTGTCGAATTCGCACGAAAATCGAAAACATTCTATGTACGTCATATGGAAATGTGCTAATCTTGGGGTGCTGCTAGGATAAACAAAGGCAATGAAAACAAGAAAATATAGAGAAAGCTTCGTTTTCTTACCATATGGATCATGATCACCGAGCATATTCGTAGGAACAAAATCACACATTGCCCCATTTCGTTAATTCATACTTGCCTCCATGGCAATCCGCCATCGCGGACCGAACCGCTTCATCGCCCAAATTACCGATGCCCCACAAAATGCCGCACAGGCGATGATTGTGAATAGCACGCCATTCCCGAGAGCCTCAAGGGCTGGAGCGGCGATGATGCCTCCAATACATGCGAAGGCATTGCGCACGAAATTATTCACGGCAACGCTGGAGGCCGATCGATTGGGCATAAATTCTGTCAGCATTGTGGTTACCATGCTGAATATTATCATGGAGCCGAGACCGAAGAAAAAATTGGCCATTATCTAAAGGTCCAGGGAAAGGATATCAGTTTTGCATATTCGTTGGTACCGATTATGGGAAGAGATACAAAAGAAGAGGAGGACTTAGGGAGCGAGTACTGGTATAACCCAAAGTAACGTTTTTTCTGCGGACCAGCCATACCAGAGAATACCTGCTGGATAGATGAAAGCAGCAAGCCAAGCATTCTCTCGCATCCTATCCTCTGGGCGGCAGATGAGAATTCCGCTCTCATCCACCCTATTCGCTTTTTTGGCCTCACGTTGCATTATAGAGTCCATCCACATACCGCCGACGACACTGGAAATTATATAACCAACTGAATGCGAAATATACAGTAATCCAACAATCAATGTCGAGAAGTTATACGGCGCCTTGCTGAAAGTAGATTGAATACTGATGTTCAGCACATATAATGACGCAAATGTGATGCTGGCATAGAGCACAGTCAAAAGAACGGCCGGAAAGCGTAGGAAAAGCAAGATCTTAAGTGGATCAATGATAGCGATTTTGCTGATCTTTAGCCATCTGGCAGTGCTTTGAACAACTTGTCGTGTAGATACCCGGCTGAGAGGACGAATCAACTCAACCTCTGGTTCTACCTCAGCCGTTAGGTTCCTTCGCACAACCAGGGTCTCTGGGAGCCCAAAAAGGATCATGACTAGCGCAGCTCCTCCGTAAATGGTCACACACCACTGTGTGCTCCTCCAACCCCAGGCCTGCGACATTATGCCACCAATGATTGGGGCGAGCAAAGGTCCGCAGAGCGGTCCCAGGTAGAAAATACCCATTGCTTGACCTCTCTCTCGTGATTCCCAAATGTCTGAAATTGTTCCCGCCCCAATTGCCTGAACTGAAGCTGCGGCTCCTCCACTTAATAGCCTCATGACAATAAGCATTTCTATAGTGGTCGCTATGGCGGATAGGATATTGAATACGGCGAATAGAATGAATGAAATGATGTATATTGAGCGACGACCGAAGGTTTCACTGAACGAGGACCACCACAAAGGGAATATAGCCATGCTCAGCATGTATAGCGCAACAGAAAGGTTGGTGACAGTGGGGGTTGTGTGGAGTGAAGACGCAATTTCGCCAAGGGAAGCTGGAAACGAAACAGGCGTCAAAATACCATATTTTAGTTTATAGTGAGGGAAGTATAGTGTTTAATTATACAGAGAGTGTACGCTCTGCAATCGGTTTGGGGGAGGAGAAAACTAACGGAAAAATATAGCACTGCTGATAGGCGCCCCCGCGGCTGCAAGGGCGATAATCATTGTGATCAGCCATTTCGTTTTACGAGGGTATTTTTTTGGGTCTTCAACCTCTGGCAGCAGCGTGAGACGTCCTAAGAAGCCTCGACGTTTATTGATAGGAACTTTCACAGCGGTGGAGTATAAACTGGTACGCTGCCTCGCTGCACAGCAGACACTTCCCCTTTCCTCTTCACAAAGCGAAGTCGCCCTCACTGATTTACCATCCACTACCATATCCTCTACCGCTGGCGTCTCCAGCTCGACTACTCCGTTCCTCTGGTCAATTGTGTCAATTCCTTCAGACTTTCTCTCTTCTCCTTTTGCTGTTGCTTCTGCCGCTTCATATCCCAAGGCTGGCAAGCGACTCACTTCCAGCTCTGGTTCGGAAGAAGCCATTGATGCGTTTCAAAATGTAATGCGCCGGGAGCTGCGACCCCGACGGCTGGAAAACACAGGATAGGAACAGAGTGGAGGCAATGAGATGGGGTTATCCCAAAATAATAAACCAAATTGATATTGACCGAGATACATCAATACATACGGTATCTAAGGCAGAACTTTGCACCAAAGCCTTCTCCGGGCAGCAATCTCTCACGTAAATTAATTATCGTCTGAGAATTGTGTGATGATACATCCATGCAATAGCCTGCAAGGACAAGAGATGCGGCGGAGGATAGAGAAATCTGGTATAAACGGTTGTGACATCAATCCATGCTCGTATCGTACGGAAGAATAAGAGAATGACAAGATGAACAGGAGCACAGGTAGATGATTAGTATCTGACAGTAACATGGAGTCAAGAGGAAAGATGAAGTTGAAAAACTTCGCACTCCTCATGTTACGAGATATGCCTAGGACGAAGATGAGATTCGGCTGCTGAATTCTCCACTCAACCATTAGTAGTACCCTAGCCAAGATGGCGGTTAGGACTGTTCCATTTATTCAAATTTGTCTTGTATGCGATTTCTTGACTCCTCTCCAGGTCGGCAACAAGCACCCGGGAGTCAGATCAAGCATTACTCTAATTCCCCTCATTTGATGATTGCCTTTATTTCCCTGGATCGGTAATCCGGCAATTTCAAGGCACCTATCGCTGGTTGAAAGTGAAATCTCCGGCTCAGCGATTGACGTCGGCGATATTCCGACAAATTGGAATGAAAACCCATTTTGCTAGCAAGATCAAGTGATAACTAGCGCGGGGCTAAGTTTAGCTTTTGTCTCCATAGAAATTGTTCGAGACTTGGGTGGTGCCGATTGCCGTGAATTGGGGGTTCGATTACCCATAGTTATGGATCCGCGTTCGACTCCCCAGAACGTCAGACTTCCCAGAAATCCACCTGGAAAAAGAAGTTGTGTGAAATAGGTGCCCATACCCCGCATTGTTCATTGCATATTCCTATTCGTTGTCGTGGATTGGTGAGATGTTCAGCGTTCACGAAACCAGGTCGTCGTCGTTTGTTAACTAAAGTGTAGTTAGTTAACTTATATAAAGTTAGATCACGTCGTCGGAGCGGCAGTATGCCCGAACCACGTGCTCCGGGTGCAATCTGCGGCGGGAATCTTGCCGTGAGAATCCCGACCAATAGAAGCCGCGAATCGCAGCCCTTCGGCTACACAGCCACTGGGCAGGCCCCAATAGCCGGCAACCGCGGTCCTTTGCCAGGCTTTTTCAGCACCGTAGCTGAGTGTTCCAAAGTTGCAAGTTGCTGTGTAGAAGAAGGGAAAGAGTTTTTTTGTTAGGCTGAACAACCTGCATTTTGGATTTCTATCATTGTAGTGTTCAACTTCCAAAGGCCTGCTGTCGCACCATTTGCCCGGAGGTTCACAGCAAGCTGATAGTTGTGTCAACAGGCGGGCATGCAACCGGGCATGTTCGACCTATGTACGGAACGTCGGCTGACGATCAATTTGTTCATGGCATCGATTAACTGCTATACATATACACCTTACGCAACTGCATCAAAGGTAATTGGTATACTCATGTGCACTATGAAAGTTCAAGAAAAACCACTTGGAGGATATGTGGTGAAGGTGATATGACGATACCCAGGACATTATCAAACCACGAGTTACGCATATATCCTAAGCAAGGATCAATGTGGCATTTTCAAAATCAGTGATTTCATATATCTGGCCCATCCCCGACATTCCAAGCCATGTCCTTTATGTCGCACTATCCCTTACAATTTGGAAGCACAATGTTCTCATACCTGCTTAGAATATGCATTCATGACAAAGGCTGATGATATAGTTATATCTTCTCAATGTTACAAACTAACGGATCAAAGGATTTCTCAAAGCATTTGGGTCCCGATTTTGCTCTCGGAATACGGAAGGTATCCACCAGTACATGCATACATACATACCCACCAAACAAACAAACGCAAATTCAACCACATACCTCCGGTTGGAACCGAAACAGTAGGCATTATATCCTACCTATATAACAACATTCTTGATAAGCCCTTGTCAATCCCATTAGGACCTTGTGGTTTTCGCGATTATTACTAAACCCGGACCCGGTGCCCCGCCATTTGCCCCTCCCACTCAACACCTCTAGCCATGTCGCAGCCATCACTTAACCAACCAAAACTGAGCGAGTACTTCTCAAAATTTCAACCGGATAACCAAGCAGACGCCTGGGACGAGCTGTGGAAGAAGGAAACAACACCCTGGGACCGTGGGGTGTATAACCCTGCCCTTGAAGATACTTTGCTCCAACGGCAAGGATGTCTTGGAAATGCCCTTCGAAGCGACAAGGAAGTGCTAGGTTCAGGGGAAGAGAGTAACGTCAACAAAAGGAAAAAGGCGCTTGTCCCCGGTTGTGGACGGGGCTTTGATGTTTTCCTACTGGCAGGGTTTGGATACGATGCGTACGGGTTGGAGTATAGCGATACGGCAGTGGGGATTTGCCGTGAAGAGGCAGCGAAACTTGGTGATAACCTTCCAGTACGAGATGAGCAGATAGGAAAGGGGCAGGTTACGTTTATCCAAGGAGACTTTTTTCAAAATGACTGGTTGGAGAAGATTGGGGTTGGTTGGGGAGGGTTTGACCTCATATATGACTACACGGTAAGCTTGTTTATCTTACCTATACAATTACCTTGACTGTGCACACGAGTTTAAACTTGGGTTATACGTGTCCCCAAATCGAGCCTGATTGATTTAATAATGAAGTGTTGTCTAACATACCCGAAACACACTCGTTGCTTTTTAACCCAAATGTAGTTTTTCTGTGCATTGAATCCGGTTCTTCGCCCACGATGGGCACTCCGCATGTCACAATTGCTGGCGCCATCGCCACACGGAAACCTCATCTGTCTCGAGTTCCCTACCGCAAAGGACCCAGCAGCCATGGGTCCTCCATTCGCGTCCCCACCAGCAGCATATATGGAACATCTCAGTCATCCGGGAGAAGATGTTGTCTACGAGAACGGTTATGTCAAAAGCGACCCGCTCAGAGGAGCGAGTCCTAATGGACTGGAGCGTGTTGCTCATTGGCAACCAGAGAGGACGCATGCGGTCGGTAAGGACGAAGCTGGAAATGTCCAGGACTGGGTAGCAATTTGGCGCCGCCGAAATTAGTGCTCCAAAAGATGCCGTCACATGTTAACAACATTGTTGAAAATCTCCACTTATTACTGTCTTAAAATCGCACAAGCCAGGTTCTCAAGACTCTTTTTCTAAAGCGTTGTAGTGTTCCCCCAAACCATAAGAATGCCGATAGTAGGCAAGCCATATTGTCTTTTCTTCTCCGGCGTTGCTATTCGGGGGTTCAAACTTCTCTATTCGTCCATCTCCTTGAACCACATTAATATGAACACCATATGCTTGCGAAATAGCCTGTAACTCCAGTTGCCCGCCCCACTCTGCAGTGTCTCTTATTTTGTGGACATACCGGGACAGTGATTCTTCGATAAATGGCGCGAAATCGTCCGCGTGATTTGTAATAAAATTAGCCGTTACATCCCTCACAGCTTGATATCCGACAGCGCCGACCCCGGACTCAGTCGCAGATTCGGATTCCCTGAGCGGAATGCCGTTGTCAACGAGCTGAGTGGCAACAGCGGCATAGAGGCAGTGCCCGTTGGGACGAATTTCCTTCTCCTTTAATCCAAGACGGGAGAAAGCTGCGTCCATGTTCTTCTTCTCGTTGCCCCTGTGGTCCATCTGACTGGCTGCTTCCTCTGCGGCTCTGGCAGCTTCGGCTTCCTGCTCTGCAGCACGGCGGGCTAGGCGTGCCTTCTGGCGATTTGGCTTCTTTTGGGGCGTCGTCTCTTTGGGAGGTGCTGAGATGCTAAACTGGGTATCGAGCGTAGAAACGGGAGCTGTTTGGGAGTTCGAACTCTCTTTGTCATTTTCGGAGGGGTGTTCTGAGTCCCCCGCACCGTTAACTAGGTTGAGGAGGTCAAGATCACTTGTAGGCGGTTCCATATCGCCATGGAGACCAGATATTTCAGCACGTTGCTTTTCAAGTAATTCATGGTAGAGGCGATCGCACTGGTCATTAACACCCTTGCGCGTCTTTTTCGTTGCGGACTTTTTTTTTTGCGTGATGCGTTCTTGCAGATCTCTCAACTCTTTTCTGTGTCTAGCTTGCAATTCCTCCATCTTTATTGAAGAGCCTGGCAACAGCGTAGGACCTGGTGCAGACCCTATATTATGGCCGGGAATGCTTGTAGATTTGATAGGTCATCCGTAGTGTGGCATTTAAAAAGGCGTCGGCGCTTGGTGTAAAACAAATCACGGATTTAAGGTTTTTGCGAGATCCGGCAACCTCGGCCCAAGGAGCAAGGCGTTGTCTTTGCACAAAAACCAATTTCTGCTCTATCGTCTTTTCACTTTGTTGGGATATTTCAGTATTCCTAAACAGCTTTGCCTTGTATTTTCACATTTTCACTGCACACTGAGAGCTTGTTGTTTGAAAATTGGTACTTTCCGAGAACCTGCTAACAATGGACTCCTCAAGCCTCTTCGATGTTAAGGCAAGGATACAAATCACTCGATCCGGAGGCTTTTGTCATTTGCTAACAGAATTTAAATTTAAGGGTAAAGTAGTCTTAGTTACTGGTGGTGCCAAAGGCATTGGACGTATGATATCTGAGGGATTTGTTACCAATGGGGCTATTGTTTACATCACCGGTCGAGATGCTGCTGCTTGCGACAAGGCAGTTAAGGAGCTGAATGCCTTAGGAAAGGGAAAAGCTGTTGGGATACCAGCAAATCTATACAAAGCGGAGGAGTGCAAGATGCTCCTTGATGAATTTTCGAAAAGAGAAAGCAGTACGTTGTTCTTATAGATGCTTGACCAAATTGGACGCCCTTTAAAATTTGTGCCGCGGCCATGTTCAAGACAATTTGGCCTTCGTCCTTCAGTTTCTGAATTGCTGATTGTTGAAATTTATAGAATTAAATTGCTTGATCAATAATGCAGGATCTAATTGGGGGGCGGTAAGGATACCTTGATTTATCTTCTCCTTCTCTCCGCAGATCGTTGTTCCTAAGATGTGAGCTCGGATTGTCGCAACTATATGCTGAACAAAACACATTTAGCCATATGATGAGTACCCATCCTCGGCCTGGACAAGAGTCTTGACACTCAATTTGCAGCGGGTATTCGAAGTGACACAGCTGTTCACTTCCCTTCTCGAGAAAGGAGCCTCTAAAGGTGACCCAGCAAGAATCATAAACATTGGAAGCATCGATGGATTGAGAGTCCCGCCTCTCGAGACCTTTGCATATAGCGCCAGCAAAGCTGGCCTACACCATCTTAGCCGTGTTCTAGCCCATCATCTTGGAAAACGGAATATAACGTGCGACCCTTTCTGAAAAGCCCAGCTTCCCAGGACCATTTTGGATTGCTAACTTTCGCATGTAGTTCCAACACGCTAGCATGTGGGCCGTTCGAGAGTAAGATGATGGCCGCAACATTGAAGAAGTTCAAAGACGTAATCGAATCGGGAATCCCGTTGGGTCGCATTGGAACCCCAGAAGATGTCGCCGGAGCTTGTCTTTTCCTTAGCAGTAGGGCTGGGTCCTATGTTAATGGCGCAACAATAACGCTCGACGGGGGTAGTGTCATCGCTGCTAAGATGTAGTGTAGATTTCAGCACGGACGTTGATAGAGGGACTGTAAGCCAGACATTTTTTTTTTTTTTTTTTTTAATTTTATTTTTACATAGAGCTGCGTGCATGTGCGATTTCACAGATTTTCAACTATACGGTTTGCACCATAGCATTTCGACCCCGCATATTGCTCCTTTAGTTACTTGATGGGACATCGCTGCAAAGCAAGGTCACTCTCGATTAAATCACAGAATCTATCATATTTTAATCTTTGTTATAAGCTAATCGTCATTGCGTAGCAATAGTAGTTTTGATCCACAATGCCCTAGGAGAAATTGGAAATAATGAAGTGGGTCACTGTATAACTAACTCGACATATTCCAACTGAACCGGTCACTCTACCGAGCCGGCCACCAAAACCATGCAATTAAGATTAAGTGTTTAATTTAAATTGCAGTTTTCAACAACAGTCAAAAAGAAATCTCTATAGAGCTTCTAATCATCATTGGAAGATAAAGATTCAAATTCATATGATTGAAAATCTTATGTTGAATCAATCTTCTAAATCTTGTATATTTTTACTTCTTTTCCTCATTTAAAGCAAGTATATTTTGATATCACTTATTCATAATTGTAGTGATAATAATTTTCTACTTATAAGTTTTAAGAATTTAATTATTATTCTTTTTAAGTATTTTAAAAGAGTTTATACAATTTTGATAAAATGCTTTTCAGCTTTGTTTGATTAAATTAATGAGGATTTTTAAATATATAAGAATTTAAAATAACTGCAAATTGCTAAATTAAACCTTAAAGAAAATTAATATATAAAGTTGAATATTAAGCTTTTAAATAATCTGAATAGAAATAAATAAATTGATATCAATTATTATATAACTGCTTTAAATATTATAAACATGAAGATTTTTTTACTCGTTGTAAAGTATATATTTAAAAAATAACTTTGTAAATAATATTGAATTCAAGTTATATTTATTACTTAATTAAATGTTTTAATTGCTTTAAAATCTCATTTTGAACTTTGAATCTGAAGCGATAATAAAAATACTTATATTCAAAAGCTACATATAATATATTGAAAAAAATATAAAAAGAAATAGTATTCTTTTTTAAACAAAGTCAATTAAATTTAAAATATATGATTACTCTTATAGTTATTAAATATAAATAAGATATATCACTTTTTTCTTAGTATACTCATAGCTAAGGTAAATACTTAAGTTATTTAAACTTAATTTTATTTATTGATCAGTTATTAAAGCATTAATTTTTCAGTAATTTGATAGTTTATTAATTAACTTTCTTAAATATTCTAATTTTTTGAGAATAATATATAGAGATAAATTTTATTCAAACACATATACCAATTAAATAACTGTAATTTACTCTTTATATATGATAAAAGCTTCATAATTATATTTTTTAAAACTAATAATTTTTGTAAATGTAGTTATAAAATCTTATTACAAATCTAGTTTTATCAAAGTTTCAAATTTTCATATCAAATCTCATATTAAGTAAAAATATTATTTAGTATATCAAACCATCTATAAGTAATCTTAATATTCTCGCATTTAACTATTTATAATTGTAATATCTTGAATATCAGCTTTGAAGTTCTATAAAGTATCTTACCAGATGTGAAACTCAGTTCTTGCTAACATAAGAGATAAAGAAGATAGAGTTATATAACAAGATAATTCATTATATTCCTCACAAAAGCTGGTTTAAGAGGTAATTCTAGTTTGACCAGACTCGGCACTATTGAACAAGTATTTTCTCTTCAGCTTTAATCAATCAATGTGAATTTGCATGTAAGCTTGTATGTGTAGAACAGTCATTCAGTCAATCAATAAGAGTGAATGAAGTGTGGAATATCATACAGTCTTGCTGCTTCATGAATAGAGGCAATTCCTTTATTTTTCAAACATTAAAACAGTAATTGGGAAATTTCAATCTTTCCCCCATTTCTTATAGAGTTTCTTTTATTTCGTTGTGACGCCTAAGCAGGTAGGCTGGTGAATTTTGTTCCGTGTTTCAATCTGGTGGCCGACTCGTTGGGAAATTAGTTAAACGTTTTAACTAACCTGTTAACTAACTTAGTTAACTAGTTAGTTAGAGCTTTAACATGCATCAGAGTTCGAAATGCCCCATCAACGATCAGCTTAGGGATTTTCTGTTCGACTTCTACAGAATTGAGTTATGTTTTAACGTTAAAATTTCATATAGATCCACCATATTTTCAAGTACGAGGTATTCTAAGTGTCCCTGCGGTGTTGAGTCTGACCAGATATTCTTTAACTCTCGCCTCCAAGTTCTCAACGCCGGTTTCTCCTACACGTCGTACGGTGCTCCTGTTAAGATACGGACCTTCCGACGGAATCGAATTCCTTAGCGGCACCCGCCTCGCATCCCTTTTGAGTTATACGTTGGATAATGACCTTGCCAGCAGAGGTCCATTCTTCACATCCGCGCCGTGGTTCGCACTCTTCCAGTGCAGACCCATTTTCCGAGCCTGACATATATTATGGCGAGGAGGAACATCTAAGGAGACAAGCCCAGGCTCATCGAAGGACGCTGTCATCTGTTAGTGTCAATTTGGATATGCATATTCCCGACAATTTATTCCCCCCTCAATCGAATACCACCTTTGTGTGCGAGGGATCCTAACTTCAGTCACAGAGCCTGAAACGATTTGACTTCTCCGATCTGCATGATTTTATCGGGAAAACTCCACCAAGACGCACGAGTCATGGTAAATAATTGTTTTGCTGCCTTTGTGTTGTCACTTCTACGCTTCTGATGCTAATGGCGGACCATAGACGAACGGTCACATTCCCGCAAATTCCTTATCGATGTCGATGTCACATTGGAGACGTTGCTGGAGCGTGAAGATACAGATAACAATGCGCAAATAACGATAGAAGATCAGGGCCCTAAGGCAAGCTGAACAGCGGCTACGGTTTCAGGAGGGATTGTTGCTTACAATTTTTTTTATAGGTATTTTCCGTGGGCACCGCAGCCTCATCTGGTTACAATCGATTTGATTTGCGAGGTACATATATAATTTCGAACCTTCTTCAGGAACTCACTCTCGCAAAGGACTACGGGCGAAAGCACATCATACTTGACGAGATGCGCCTGAATGAGAACCCTGTTGCAAGACTATCGCGTTTCGTGGAAAAGTCGTTCTGGAATGCACTTACACGCCGAATTGACGGTTCCAATATTGCAGCCGTTGCAAAAGATCCGAAGGACTGGACTCCTGACCCCGTTCCCCGGATCTATGTACCCCCTGGAGCTCCTGAACAGTACGAATACTACAGGCGAATTGCCGAATCCGAGCCAGATTTACGCTTGGATGTTCAATATCTCCCAGAAGGAGAGCCTACCGCTGAGTACGTTAAGAACTTAAATGATAAACCTGGTCTTCTTGCGTTGGCTGTGGAGGAATATACAAATCCGAACTCGGGGATAAAGGACTTGAGGGGTGTCCCTTTCGTTGTGCCTGGAGGTAGATTCAACGAGTTCTATGGATGGGACAGCTATATGGAATCACTGGGACTCATGGTAAATGATCGTGTGGATCTAGCGAAGAGTATGGTTGTAAATTTTTGCTTTTGCATTAAGCATTATGGGAAGATCCTCAACGCCAACCGCTCCTACTACCTGTGCCGATCCCAGCCTCCATTCCTTACCGACATGGCTCTTCGAGTGTTTGATCGCATTAAAGCGGAGCCCGATGCAAAGGATTTTCTTCGAACGGCGATGTTGTCTGCTATCAAGGAATACTATTCTGTATGGATGGCGGAGCCAAGATACGATCCCATTACGGGGTTGTCCCGGTACCGACCAACCGGCCTTGGAGTTCCTCCCGAGACAGAGCCCTCTCATTTCTACCATCTATTACTCCCTCATGCAGAGAAATTGGGCATAACTTTTGAAGAATTTGTCAAGGGTTACAACAATGGGGAAATTAAGGATCCCGAGCTGGATGAGTATTTCCTTCACGATCGCGCCGTGAGGGAGTCCGGACATGACACCAGCTATCGCCTTGAGAATGTTTGCGCCAATCTTGCTACAGTTGATCTGAACTCTTTGCTCTATAAATACGAAGTCGACATTGCCCGAACCCTCCGCCACTTTTTCGATGATAAACTTGCCATTCCTCCCGAGTATAGGACAACCCAAAACGCTGAAAAGGGGTTCGAATCATCAGCGGTGTGGGATCGCCGGGCGAAACGCAGAAAGCTAGCGATGGATAAATATTTATGGGATGAAGGAAAAGGGATGTATTTCGACTACAACACCGTTAAGCAAGAGATAACAGACTACGAGAGCGCCACAACCTTTTGGACGATGTGGGCTGGAGTTGCAAGCCCCCGCCAAGCGTCAAGACTTGTCAGTGAGGCGCTTCCCAAATTCGAAGTATATGGAGGACTGGTATCAGGAACTGAAAAGTCTAGGGGCGTTGTTGGCATCGATAGGCCCAACAGACAGTGGGACTATCCATACGGGTGGGCGCCGCAGCAGATGCTGGCGTGGTCAGGACTTATCCGTTATGGATACCAGGAAGACGCAGAGAGACTGGCCTATAAGTGGCTGTACATGATTATAAAAGCATTCGTAGATTTTAACGGCGCTGTGGTAGAAAAGTACGATGTTACCCGTCCTATCGATCCCCATAAAGTGGAAGCTGAGTATGGGAATCAAGGAGGGGATTTTAAAGGCGTTTCTCGGGAAGGGTGAGTGACCACCGCTATATAACCCCCTTGTTGGCCATTTTCTTTTATGTCCAGGTTAATATCATGCTAACAAGCTATTTCCCCCCCCCCCCTCCATCAGATTCGGCTGGGTTAATGCAAGTTTCGTCTATGGTCTGGAATTTCTTAATGCTCATATGAGACGTGCCCTGGGTGCATGCACTCCATACGAGACCTTCAGCAAAGCCACAGCCCAATGGGCATCCCCCAGTTGGGATCATCCGACTAAGGGATGAACTTTCCAATGTCCCAATCACTAGTTAGATGACAGAATTTTACAAATCTCAATTTTCGTAGTGAATTTAATTTTGACTTACTGAAATAGATTTATTTTATTTTCTAAAACACAGCAATACCACAGAAGAAAGTTATGTTAAATCTGTGCTAAGTGAATTAAAAGAAATCTTTCAACTATATAATAACATAATGGCAATGACTGCACACTGAAGAAGTATCTGCTCAAGACTACAGAGTAAAGTGGTCAACAGCAGATTTAGATCATAATAAAAGCCTACATCATTACCAAAATTACAAATGGTGAACCTATTTTTGCTTAAAAAATATGCTTCCAAGAATACAAAGCTTCGTGTAGCTCCAATTGATGCCCGGGATCCATTTCTACGTAGAGATTCGAAACATTTTCGAGAAATCGATTGAAACTGCTGGTCGAGGCACCTGAAAGGCAGAAGCATCTTCCACTTGGTCCGTTTTGGTTAGCTTAAGCTGGGCCAGGGACCTAAGGATTGAAGTCCAGCTTCCGGGCAAAATAATGCATTTGAAAAGAACATCTTGATCGATTTCGAGGCTTCCAAGAATTTTCATATGCACTCTCAAAATCCATGGATTTCACCATGTCCATCATTTCCTAAACGCATAGATCCGCCTTTCCGTTCCACGTGTACCTCGCGTCTGTTGCGAAACAGGAATAAGCGCAATGGAAATTATAGACGACGGATGAAGAGAAGGAGGCGATTGGGCGTTCAAACTTCAAGCCTATGCGAGACTGCGCGAATAGGGATGTCACCGAAGCGAACCGAGTCAATCCCGGGCCGGCTCCCGATTTGTTCTCGTGTGGATGAGCTAACAAGTCAGTGCTGCATCACGTAGCAATACGGACGCATTTCTTGAAATGGTGGACTTCAAAGAGTGCCAAAAGCGGTCCTGGAGCGGAAGGGAATGGGATGCCTTGCCTTGACTTGGGTTTTGGATATCGATACCAACAGTGCAAGACATCATACTCTGCCTAGAGGGGCCCGCTGTGCCACTGTTCTGTTCACACCGCAATGGATATCCTGTGGCTGATCCGGATGGGAGAATATAGAGTTGTTGGTGAATGAATGAGCGGCTGGTTGTTGATAGGCTCATTCGCCAGAGCAAAGACATAAGCAAAAAGTCGCATCTGCTCAGGAAGGTATTTTATGTAATGGTAGTGTTATGGTTACTGTTGCCAGGCAGATTGGGCTTTGCAGAGGAGTAAAATACCGTAAACTTACGAGCTTGGTCAACACTTTGCAGCCTCACCTTCACATCAACCATGGATGGCAAACTCAAAACCTCTCTCATATTCAAAAATCCATGGCTACGAGGCAGGCAATTTGCATGTCTATCTAACACAGCAGAAGGCCGGGCATATACCCGAATTATTTATTTATTTATTTATTTAATTTTTTTTTTTTTTTTTTGAACGTTGTTGCGTATTTTCCTGTCGGCGCCAATCCCGTTCCATTGGGCCGAGGAAGAAAATCCTGCTATATCAAAACCCTCCTACAGACTCCTCCCCATATTGAAGCTCGAGTTCTATCAGGCCTATCAGGCTCTCTTGAAGATTGACTTCGGCGCCGGGTGGGTTCGCCGACACCAATACGAAAATCCTTTATCTCGGAACGCTTTGCCCGTATTCAACAACAGCCACTGGGATGATTCCTTGTCGCCTTTTGCCTCGGGAAAAGTTTTGCTTCAAAAGCTGACTAATTAATAGCAAGTTGTCGTTGTTGCGTGCAGGTCATATATCTTCTGTTTTTCTTTTCCCTTGCTCTATCCTATATTCATTTTCCCTTGCACTAGATTTCGTGTGAGAAAACTGTTATCAGGTTCGATATAACTGGATTTAATCCCAGCCACGATTTCCCGAGACAAGTCATTTTCGCACCGAGTCTCCCATTGGTCACATCCTTGCCAGTGACGTCGGTTAAAAGTTGATATTAAATACACTTCGTTCCCTGTATTCAAGACTTTTTAAGAGGTTCTTCTAACTGCGATTTTCGAATTACCAAGCCAAGGTCGTAAATAAACGATCGCAATGGATTCTATCGAGCAAGAAGATCAGAAATACTGGGCTGAAGTCCAGGCCGTCAAAGAATGGTGGCAGGACTCAAGATGGCGGTATACCAAGCGTCCGTTCACCGCAGAGCAGATCGTTGCGAAGCGGGGAAACTTGAAGATTGAATATCCATCAAATGTCCAGAGCAAAAAGCTTTGGGGGATTCTGGAAGAGCGTTTCAAGGTATGCTGGGATCTGGGTTGCAGATATCAAAATATCGCTATCGCGACGAATGCTCATTATTGTTTTAAAAAAAAAAAATTTCACAGAACAAAACTGCCAGCTTCACTTATGGCTGTCTCGAACCCACAATGCTCACCCAGATGGTCAAATATCTCGATACGGTCTACGTCTCTGGCTGGCAGAGCTCTTCTACAGCATCGTCAACTGACGAGCCCTCTCCAGACCTTGCAGATTACCCAATGGTGAGTCATCCTTTTAACCTAGCTCTTATGATTTTATCATACTGCATGCTGACTGTTATAGAACACTGTCCCCAATAAGGTCAACCAGCTATGGATGGCACAGCTCTTCCATGACCGCAAACAGCGCGAGGAAAGATTGAGGGCTCCTAAGTCCCAACGCGCCTCGCTTCCCAACATCGATTACTTGAGGCCAATTATTGCGGATGCGGATACTGGTCATGGTGGATTGACCGCTGTCATGAAGCTGACCAAATTGTTCATCGAGCGAGGAGCTGCTGGCATTCATATTGAGGATCAAGCCCCTGGAACGAAGAAGTGCGGCCATATGGCTGGCAAGGTCTTAGTCCCCATCAGCGAGCATATCAACAGACTTGTTGCCATCCGAGCCCAGGCTGATATTATGGGTGAGCCATATCCAGACATCCGTATTCAAAATTTTTTCATTTGGAAATTAGATGCAGTGTATTGACCTTTTTTTTTTTTTTTTTTTTTTTTTTTTGTGGCAGGAACCGACCTCCTGGCTGTTGCTAGAACTGATTCCGAAGCGGCAACCCTCATCACATCAACTATTGATCCCCGGGACCATGCTTTCATTATTGGCTCAACAAATCCTAATATCAAACCTCTCAACGATCTGATGATTGTTGCTGAGCAAGCAGGCAAGAACGGAGCAGATCTCCAGGCAATTGAGGACAAGTGGAATGCTGAGGCGGGCCTAAAGCTTTTCTCCGAGGCAGTTGTTGACCAAATCAAGGCATCTTCTATTCCCAACAAGCAGGCTGTTATCGATGGATTCCTCCGCGACGTCAAGGGCAAGAGCAATACTGAAGCCCGTGCAATCGCCAAGAAGATCACCGGTTCAGATATCTATTTTGACTGGGATGCTGCTAGAACTCGGGAGGGCTTCTACCGCTACCGTGGCGGTACCCAGTGTGCCGTCAACCGTGCCATTGCCTACGCCCCATTTGCCGATCTTATCTGGATGGAGAGCAAATTGCCCGACTATGCCCAGGCAAAGGAGTTTGCTGAAGGAGTCCACGCTGTGTGGCCTGAACAGAAGTATGTCCACTTCTGCACCTCTTCCTCCCGATTTCCCATTTCATAAACTGATTAAACTTATTCACTGTTGCTAACATTTCCTCCCAACAGGCTCGCTTACAACCTTTCCCCATCCTTCAACTGGAAGGCCGCCATGCCACGTGGCGAGCAGGAGACCTACATCCGCCGTCTGGGCAAGCTGGGTTACGCCTGGCAATTCATCACCCTTGCCGGTCTCCACACCACTGCCCTTATCTCTGACCAGTTTGCCAAGGCCTACTCCATGAATGGCATGCGCGCCTATGGCGAACTAGTCCAGGAGCCCGAGATGGAGAATGGAGTTGATGTCGTTACCCACCAGAAATGGAGTGGTGCCAACTATGTCGACGAGCTGTTGAAGATGGTCAGTGGCGGTATCAGCAGCACCAGCGCCATGGGTAAAGGAGTCACTGAAGATCAATTCAAATAGATGAGGCGACCATTGTTTCCTCGATTGTATTTCCTGTAGTTTTCCTCTGTAATGTATATAAACTTTTGGGACTTAATTTTTTGTTGTTTGTATTTTTAGCAGCTAATGCAGCTTTATTGGCACTGCAAATATACAGGATAAGTGGAGAGTTTCTTAAAAACCATTTCCTGTACTCGCTATATACCTACCTAGGCGTGTATATTCTGTGCACTGCAATCATCTAATCGATTTGCTGTTCCAGATGCCTTTGCCAATTCGCATTTGCGTAGCTTTGCTTCGTTTTTCTCCACATTCTTTTCTGTCACGCTGTCGCTTATTATCAAAAGGTACCGCAGTTAATTAACTACCAGACATTTGCCATCCTGAGTAACTTCACCTTCAAAGCAACAAAAACTTGTGTTCAGGTGAAGTGTTCAATGGAAATGAAGTATATGACGCAGATAGGCATACGTCATTAAATTTTCATTTCAGAGTTTTGAACTGAGATGTGGGGTAGACGAGCCGTTCTGAAATCACCTGAGAAATCAATACGTTTTGATGTATAACTCTAGAACCTACTTCCAAAAAATTATAAATAAAAAAATATATAAAAAATATATAAAAATCCCTATATGCTCATGCGATCCTACTATGCCGTTGGTGTCTGATATTACTTTGAGAAGCTCTCAACACCGTCAACGGAGCAGGCGCAGACATGCTCTTTCGTGTCTGAAATAATAAGAGCGGTTTACAGCCAAGGTCCAAAAATTAGGAATATCTAGAAAATGGGGAATCATAGTTTAGAGCGGAAGATAGTTAAACGTAACGAATTGGAAGCTCATGTGGAGACATGAAAACCGCCATTTTTCATCTGCCGTAACGTTGAGCTGTAGGGGTATGATACAAGAAATGAAGAACGTATAACCAACCACGTTTCAGCAAGCTCCTAGGTCCCGGTGGTCCTTAAAGAGTTGTGGACCTTTCCCCCACCCTCGGGCCACAGAACTCATGGGCTCTTGTAATTACTCTCCTGCAATGATGACTTCTTCATATTTTGGGCAGGGACAGCAACATCTATAGAGAAGTCGATTCAAGATATCCCAGCGTGAAATATCGACACTAGTAATATGTCACGCTTTGATCTTGAGAGAAACGCAAATTGGGTTCCTGAAAGCTTTCAATGTCCTGATAGCGTACGCATCTATGGACATGCATGTGCACCTTCATATATAGACTCCTAAATATAAAATAATCAATCATGATATTCAGAACAATGTTTCAGCTGTGAAAGTTGAAGTAAGAGGCCAAAATTCGCTCAGAAGCTCTGCTATCCTCTCCTTTGTTCCTTTGAATAGCTTAAATTCATCAGGCTCTGGTAATAGCAAAAGTAAACACCATCAGGTCTCCTATTGAGTGCATTTCTGGTTAATATGACAGAGCCTGAAACTCTGTAGAAAACATGTTGGCGGGATAAACTAACCTTGACTGGGGAAAAGGGACAATCTGTGGAAGCAATTGAACAAAAATAGAGAGAGAATCTTGCATGTGTTCCTCACAGTTAATTAGAATTTGTGCTAAATTTAGGTTTAGGTTCCTAATTTTAGCCCATTAACTACCCCACAAACTTTATATTTAGATTTAGCGCTTGTGGCTTAGATCCTCCTGAAGATCGAATTCTATGGTTTTGGCAAGAAATTGTTATAAAAGTAATCTAAAAACAACATAGTATTTTGTTACTAATTCTCATTCCGATGGTGAAACTTTTGGGGTTTGAGAAGGTTGTGCTGCACTCTCACGTGTAGTAAGTTCAATTTATTTCAACTGGAAATTAGAGCCGCAAACAAAATGGCCATCTTGCATTGAGTAAAAAGTTAACAGGAATAATGGAAGTCAAATGTACTCTATTCGCATACAAAGGAATGAGATACGATAATTGATGTTTTGAGGGTTCTGTCAATTTCTGAGACACTTTTTCTTAGACAGTCTTTCTGACTCTTAAAAATTAATCATAAATTATCCCATTCTATCTTTAAAATGGATATTATGACATTAGAAGAGGAAAATAGAGTAATTTACACAAGTATACATATACATAATAATACATAGTACGGAGTACAGATCCGTTTCAGGCTGAATGCTGAAGGCATTCAAGTTCTTCGATGATACAAAGAGCAAATGTAGGGAGAAATATGAAGTGTGGAATGAGATTTGAGTAAAGTACTGGAAAATATATATTAATACTAAGACATTGAAAGCAGTACTAGATAAAAATATTAGAGAAATTGACCTAAGAAAAGTCAGAAGAAAAATAAAGTGTGCAATGAGATTTGAGCAAAGTACTGGAAAATATTCATTAATACTAAGACAATGAAAACAAGTATTAGATAAAAATATTAGAGAAACTGACCTGAGAAAAATCAGAAGAAATACCTCTACTATGATCTGTTAGAAAATCATAACCTCATAAACACATAACAGAATGATGTATATAAAATAAATATGCAGCCAAGAACTAGGATAAATAGAAGGAAGACTAGAAGAACTGAAGAGGAGTTCAAAGGTATAAAATAACTATGAGTAAAACATCAGCTAGCAACCATGTTTAAGGTAAGGGTATCTGTAGTAGAATCAGAACATAAATGTACTCAAGGCCAATATCTTAACAATATTCGAAACGGAGATTTAAACTAAAATTCCCACATTCGCTTTTCGGTGCCTCTATTTGGATTCCGCTGTTCTGTGAGTCGGCGTATGACCGTCTCTCCTTCGTTCAAGAGCCCTCCTGAGGCCTGTAGCCATCTAGTGCGTATATATTCAAGTAGCCCGCTGGTATTGCGCCGAATGTGATCAGGTATGGAGCTGCGTGATATTTGGGACCACGATGGCGCAAGAAACGTAAATATAGAAATATAGGTTTTCGGGGAAACTGGGGTAAGTGCAGAGTCATCTGTTGCTGGCGTTAAATGATCGATGCCATAGGCCCAACATATGAGCCCACAAAAGTACAAAACCCAGTTTGCATGCAATGAGGTGATTGCCTTGGCTCCATTAGCTGTTGTGAGGGTTGCGGTGGCTTCTGGATATACTGGTGCCGGAAATGGGACATGGTGGCAATGGCGCTCTGGCGTCACTGGAACAGAACAATCCTTTCCGGCGTTGAGAGAGGTGAAACAATTGCAAAGACCAGAGTTATTTGAATTTTGGTTATATCCCAATTCTGGATCGTCGATTGCGTGTTTCAGGACCCGCACTGCGTGCCAAACTGCCTTTTTCAGCTCATCAGTGTCAGACACCCACATGCGCATTTTTTCCTTAGCATTCTGGAATTCTGCTTCCTGCGCAATCTTTCGATTAAATAACCAAGATTCGCCGCTAACTATCAGGAGAGCTTTCAATGGAGTACGGTATGCAGCGAGGAGAGCGTGGTATGCAAAAAGTGTATGGTTTAATTTCGTTGAAGAACCGGGAGGTTCGGGCCGTTCCATGTGATGTTTTTCGGTCTTTCCTTGTCGCAACCTCTCGATAAACGGCTCTAGCGACTGCTCCAAATCCGTCGATCGCATATTGGTAAGCAAGGCATAGGAAAGAATAAGATTCGACCGGAATGGATCAAGTGCAAAAGCGTTGTCATTTTGACAAATAACGCGCTCCATAGCATGAGACAAAGTTAATTGCTCAAATTCCCTGGCATGCCGTGTCCATTCTTCGATCCCTCTACATTCCCATAATTCTGCTTGGCAGGGGAAAGGCAACTCAAGTTTTTCTGCATTTCGAGAGTGTGACATGAGTGGCTCTGTATTTAGTTGGAGAAAAGCTAGTGGCTGCTGAAAAAGGGTTGACTGTTGCACGTCAAGAAGAAAGGAGGCTTGTAATACTCTTCTTCTTGTTTCATTTCTATCCAAAAGTGATACGCTTTTGTCAGGCCCTCTGGCTTTTCGTCGTCGGAAAGGGTATTGAAAACAGCAAGTGGGTTTCTTTGATGCCCAATGGCGATTTTGAATAAACTGTTTCCAGATATCAGCGGATGCCACTTATGGTTGATAACACGCAATCAATAACTTACAGCGCCATATAAACTCTTAAAACGAGGAGATATCGTAACATCAGCTCTCCTGGATCGATATTTCGAGAGATATTCAAGTAGAAATACAGCGTGGATATCAGATATTCGAGAGCGTATTGTTATGGGTTTTCTCTGTGGTGAAAACATTAGAATGGCTTGTTAAATACTTCTTCATATGTGCAATTTACCTGTGAAAGAAGATTAAGACATGCCTCTAACAGGGTTAGAGAGTACTCTTGTGCGTTGGGTCGCGAATCGTACTGCAGCCCAATCGCTATCATGGCGCAGGACATCAAGGGGTTAGGCTTTACCGCGAAGAAGGTAGGGCGATGGACGATCGGGAAGAGGGGGTGGAAATTCTCCCAATAATAGTCGAAGCAATCCTGCCACTTAACGGTGTTGATCACTTCCAGGATACCATTTCCTGCAATGAGACTGGGGGTGGAAGAATGTGTGCGTCGCATGGCATACCACTCATCTCCGTCCAGCAGTCCGGAGAAGAGTATTGGAACTGGTATGGCTGAGTGGAAATCAGTTACAGAGGCACCCAGTGACGGTAATGATGGGCGGGTTTCACCTACTGTTTGAAGGATATCACCTTCAACGGAGATAGGCAACATCTGTGATGTGGTGGTCCCTGCCTCCAGGGGAGTCCAGTCGGAAACTGTAGAGGTCAATGTGAGAGATGGCCCGGTCAAATGTGGGTGATAAAATGATTCCGAGAAAGACTGGTCCACGATTGGGGTATGCTGCGGGAACCGGAAAGGGTGTACATCAGGTGACGGAGACTGGCAACTATCAGGCGAAGAGTATATCGCATCATCAGAATTGACATGAGGCAAAGCTGAAAATATTTCCCCCCTAGCCAAGTCGCTTTCATTTTCGCTCCACACCGACACAGAGTACTCATTCCCAAAATCAGGCTGTGTCCCCGGTTGCACCATGGAACCAATCGACATTGAATTCGCTTCATGAAACACTGCTGGAACAGACGCATGCCGGTGATTAAATGGCACAGGTGACAGTAGACCATGGGGTTCTGAAGCCGTGGTGGCTGGGCTTGATGTCAAGTGACGATCACTACGAATGCTGGCTGTTCGAGAACCAAGTATATCGCTGCTGAAGCCATAATTTTAGCTTCTTCAAAATCTAGATGGACGACGATATTGGTGAAGACTATATATACATACTGTTTGTTTTCCATATGCCGCACACGCAAATCTTTGCGAGTGAATGTCTTGCCACACCCTTCTACCTCGCATCGAATAATGGCGGCTGGATCATGTTTCGACGCATGGCGCCTGGAGGAGAAGTGTTGGCAATCCTGATTTAAACGGCATCTAATGTAGGGTAAAAGCTTACCGTACGTGTTCGGCTCTTGAGAAGAGCTTATAGTGATGAAGTTAGCAAGTGTGCAAGGTACAAATGACGTGTATATGGACAATCATATACACCATGTCATACCTTATTGCACCCTGGATATTCACATCGATGAACTAGTTTCCCTTTCTTTGCCTTGCTCACTTTGTGTGTCCTTGGAGTATATGTGACAGGACCATAATCGGAGACAGATCGTTGGTGTCTTGGGTTGAACATCGTGGCTGCTGCTGCTGCTGCTGCAGTCGATATATATTGCGATGCTAGAGAATTCGGCGATCCGGGAGAACTTTGGATATGAACGATGTCCGGCAAAGACTCGCTACTTATGCGAGCGAGTGTGGCGGCAGAATTAAAGCTTTGGGTCCGGGGAGGCGAGATCCTTGGCACGGCTGACAGCCGATCCCCAGACGCTTGGCGCCCCAAAGTGGACTCCGTTGCCATTTTTTCCCACCCCGAGGAGAATGAGAGAAGAGTCTTGCAGATGTTTCAGGTCTGAAACAGGATAGATGACGATTTCAATTCTGAGAACAAAAACTTCTGCACAGCTCATAGAGTCGGGGTCATAGGCTGCACCTGGGGTGGTGTGCTCTGCTGCTAGAGGAGAGAGGACGTAGCTGGGTTTTTTTTTTTTTTTTTTTTTTTTTTTTAGGAAATTAAATAAAAATAGAAACACTTGCTCAGCCAGAGGAAGAGGGAAAATCTTCAGAAGCAAGCGAAAAGTGGGCGGGATATATAGCGGGAATCCCGGTTGCCCAGGAACCGATTGCTGCCAGGAGGCACTAAAACGTATAAGGCGTAGTGGGGTGTGCCAGCGCCAAAAACCAGCTAGCTTCAAAGGGCCAAACTACCGCCGCTCGAAATGGAAATTAAGCCGATCTGTTGCGGTAAAAAAAGTTCACGCTTACGGCTGAGGCGCCGGGGAGCTAACCGCTTTGGGGGAGAAGGTTGTCAGGGCTCGGTTCCTGGCCAATGGCCGGTCAGGAGATTGCGCGGGCTCGTCAAAGTGTGAAGGAAGTGTGGAGTAGGGAGTTGAAACAACGAGGGGGGATGTTTGACGGTTGGCGTGGTTTCCCTCGGAATTAACCCCATATTTTTTTGGTTGCAGCCACTTAAACACGTCGCCCGCACATTCGATTTAATGGCGTGATAACTTTAAAACTAAAAAAACAACAGTAGGTGCATGATGCTATGCCCTTTATGACCTCAGTTACTATTATTATTATTATCATCATCATCATCCCTGTTCGGCTTCATCAGGTATAGCGCTGCCGTCCGCTCTAGATCAGTCCTTCCGTATTATTGGATGTTCCAGATTTAGTTGCTGCTATGGAAAACCCACAACGGATGATGCCCTTGCAAAGGGCCAGGAAAAAATATGAATGTCATGCGCATCCGCCGCCTAACTACTTCTTCTTGCTCCTTAACATTCATTCAACCTGGGCCGTTTCCTGAGACACAGGTTACTGCATATTTGGAGCCATGCGGAGGAGGTCGTTCGGGGAAGATATGACCAGGTCCTGTGGAGATCAAGATTTTGAAACAAGCGTGATCCCCGAGATCCGACTACTTTTCTGTACGAGATTTGGATTTCCCCCATTCCTCCCTACGCAAGACTTGCCAAAGTTCCAACTCTATTATGTGTCCCGTCCTCCTTTGCGATTAAGAGAACTTGGAACGGGATTACGGTAAACAGCATTTCTGGGGCTTACACTGTAGAAAAATCAATATCATTCTTGCTGTTAAATCGATTTGTTCTTCTTCAGAAGCGCAGTACATAGGAGGTTTAGCAAGGATCGCCTGATCTATTTTGGAAAGATTCGATGTGCTAAATCCGGAACAATGATGGATGAGCGGGGCCTTTCCGATTAAGCCGCACCTTAATATGGATGGAGATTTTCCATTGGCTCGATGCCAATCCACTAGAACGTGCCATTTTCCGTCGTATAAATCTGGATCTCTAAAAATAGATCTCCCGGGTCCTATTTTGGTCACTCCCATGATTGTTCCAAGGTTCTAAAAACGGTTCTGTTAATCGAGCTAACTTCTCCTGTAACTCTGCTCTCCATATTCGGAATTCGTCATCTGCATTTGATATCTGATGGGGTTGCTTCGTGTCGTACATGAAAAAAAGGAAATCTGCATGTGTATATTACCAACATTCTGCGGCGTAGAGTTGGGCCAGCTCACATTTGCCTCCATTTCCAGATTGTTGATTTTGTGGCAGATAGTTTATTTGTCAAAATTAGTGGAGAATATGTAATAGCGCTAATTATTGTCCAAAAAAAGGCTTCTCACTGCGCATAGCTAAAGCGTAGGCCAGATTCCGCATTTCAAGTGAGGAAAGTGAATCTTTAGGAGCTAAACATTTTTAGAAATTAGTTAACTAATCATAAACTCTCTCTCACCCTACAAATCAACCAACATTCTCAAACACCTTTACCATCTGTTCTTCCCTGGCCACTCCGGTGAAAGAGGGCGGGGGGGAGGAAAGCATGTGAGATAAAACTTGGAAAGCCGAAACGACGGACATAGTAATTTTGCGCATAAACTTCTGCATCAATGAACGTCATCTCTGTGAGAACAGTTATATTAATCAAGAAAATGTAGTCACATATCTTGTATATTAAAGAAGTATACAATCTGATGAGTTTAATTGAATTGCACCATAACTACGGAGATATGCAACAATCTGCTGGAACACCGATTAACAGGCAAGTTCCGGGTGCCAATTCGAGTCGCTCGGCTAATCTTTGACAAGAAACCTAGTGTCCCTCATATGCGTCAGCTCGTGTGATTTGCCAAAATTAGCGTTGAATGAGATGTCCTAATGCTGTCAGGATATAAACCCTAGTATTTGAGTTGGACTAAAATACACGCTTCTCAGAATCGCCATATCTTGCAGAGCATCCAGGGCGCTCATAAGGGACAAGTATCGAATCACCGGGATTTCATGGACAGGTATGTTGACCCCCTTTTTTAGACTTTTCAACAAGATCCAACTGTCCAAAAAATTAAAATTTCCCACGTTCCAATGGTCGATATCAATAATGTGGTGTATACATCGGAGACTTCTTGAGTCTTGTGAGCGCTGTACGCAAGTTTGGTACCCTCAGGCTCAATCCTCCAGGAATGTACTGGGGTACGCATTGCGTCGCCCATCTCATACAACCGCCCAATGCAACCAACAAGGCCCGATCACTGAGGCTTAAAGTTATTTACTTGGACTCTCCTTGATCTATGCCAGCCAGATTTGAAATACCTGCTAACACAGAAATCATGAATCCGAAACCTAAGATGCGGGTGCATCCAGCCGGTTTTCTCTATCGATTAAAATCACCGCGGCTAGTAGCTTGAATTATCACCAGGGTCGCGAAGCCCGGATCTCAGTTGTTAACCATCGCAGTTACCTCATGTCCTGTGGAATGCTATTCAACTTCATACTGACATAATGACTTCTCGCAAGCAAAAGGAGAGAGTAAGGACTGAAAAAAACAAAGCGATAGTTGCATGTCCCCGGCCGCCCAGAAACATTCGTGGTTGATACAAGAAGCCGAACTGTTCATATCCATAGTTGGCAACACATACTAGGGCGGATTTCTCTAGTTCCATCCAAAGGTGTTCATACTTAGTAGACCTACCAGAGCATAAAATACCCCACTTTCGGCCCTGTGGGGCTTAGAAAATTTATATCAATCAACTGGCTGTAGCAGTGGAGTGCTCTCCAAGTTAAGGCACTTAAGCTTCCTCAAGTGTGGTGACGCTTGAAGGGGTGTAAAAGCTAATTTTGGAGATTGTGTTTTGTTATCCAAATATATTAGTTACCACAATAAATGGTCTGTTTCTGGAGAGGAGTAAGAAACTTGGGAAACCCCTTTTAGGTTTCTCTGTCATCGTGAATGAATACCTTTCCTGGTTTAAGATCCGCGTGTGCGAAGAAGGACGCAAATCTAAAATCACAGACCTATCAAGCAGCATCTAGAATCGAACTACAGGCTATCAGATGCTTGTTCAAATCCGCGATTATGTCACAAGGTCCCCTCATGCTCTTGTCGTTACCAATCCGACAACCCTAGCCGACCAGGTTGAAGAAAGCTGTGAGGGTAGGGATTTGTAATACAATAGACTTTCGTAACTTAGTTCCTGAGCTCGAATCTGAACTGCTCTAGTTGGGCCACGTCTAGGGAAGAGAGGCTGTTTTCGGCTATATCACCTTAATGCGAGATGTCAACAACCAACCAATTTTTATCTCGTGCTGGGAGCTCTATAAAATCAAGACCTCGTGCTTGCATTCAGGGTTGTGTTCCAGTTTTCCAGCCAGTTGGAGAGCAGGTGGGTCGTATTTGCTCTGGCCCTGTTGCCACCAGACAAAATTAAACTTGAAATGTGACCGTTGAACACTGGGGACATGGCAGTTCCGCATCAATGTAGATGTGACAATTGACGAGAGAATGCGGTAGAGGAGAATACAGCGGGATAGTGATATTAGATGCCAGCAGACGGAGTATCATCCCGGGAACGGGTAGCGACACCACACAGGAATCAGCAACAATTATAGTGATTGGGCACAAACCAATGTTGGAGTCCATATTTTTAGAAGAAGAAGAAACACCATGATAAAGCAGCAGAGTCAATTCTTGGGCAAAGGAATGGAGGTTCGATGCTCAGCCCCCTGAACGTCCAGCTGTATCACGTGGTTTATTTAGTTACGCGGCAACTAACTTTGGCATGTTCCAAAAATAGATCGTGATATGTCAAGCGTCAAGGAGTTTTTATTCATTTCCTCCCACAGTCGGATGCTAGTTACACTGCCAACCATCCGATGAAGGGATCTTTTTCTCTCGAGAATGAACTACGGACCTCCGCAATTTGGAATTCATGTTCAAAACACCATCCGTGAATACCGCTGTATCCCTGTCAATATGCCAAAACCCACATCCACATCCATCTTGGAACCATTAACTACGACTGAGGCTCTGATGGGCAACTCACCCACCCTCCCCCAGATTGATGAACTCCTGGGGGATGTTAGGAATTCCATTTGCCTAGGGCGAAGAAAATGGCCAAGCGCGGAGGGGAACGAACACAATCCAGTCGTAATAACCTTTGGACACATACTCGCTGCCCGATATGCCGGTGACTACAAGATGGCGCTAAGGGGAATCCTTCTTTTTGCGACGGCATACGATTCCGTCACCAAAATCCATGCGCAAATCCAACTATGCCTTTTTCTGTTTTCATCTCTATCGTTTTTCTACTTGCTTTCTTTTTCTTTTTCTTTTTCTTTTCCTTGGCTTTCTTCACTTTCACTGCTGGTTGGAGAAAGCACTCTTAGGAGCCTTGTACGTTTTCTCTGAAACCAGAATCTGAATTACACAATTGGTTAAAGTAGTCAACATCTTTATTCCTTCGTGCAGCCTTGCCCGTTGCCGCCTTAATGTCATACTTGAAGGAAAATCCCGATAAGGTCGGTGATTTCTTAGAGAAAACGCCTACTCTCTCCCCAGGCGAACTAAATTCTCCCCTTAGCCTTGACACGCATGCTGCAAGAAATATGTCTCCTTGCATACCAGTCCCAATAACCTAACTGGGCGGGTTTCGAAATATGTTCACCATGTTACGCCAGTTGATAACTACTGTGAGCCTGTGAGCCTATGACGTCATGCTGGCTTTTTATCCCTCCCCTTCCCCCTTGCCCCGTTTTTCCATCCTTTATCTTTTGTCGACTTTACACCTTGCAAGGACCATTTTTCTTGTAATGAGTTAGAAGATCTGTTGCATTTGTTTCTCCTTTTGATTTTTGAAACATCGGCCCAAAGCCGTAGGATTCCCTTAAAATAGTCGATAAAAGGAGAACGGTGCTGCCTTAAAAAGGTGTGACAAGAGAAGTATGAGAAACACTATCATAACGCTGCTAAATATTCTAGCGATATCCTTTCCTGCGCATTTATACTTCGCAAACCGCGACCAAGTTTTCTAGTTGAGTGTCAGTTTTGGTAAGTTTTACGAAAATCACAAGTTTCCCGTGGGATCAAGAAGTTACCCATCTACACAACAGACACAATTCGGTCTCAGATCCCTTCCGATAACGCCCATTTTCGGTGCCGTAGATAGCTTGCCAGATATGCAGGCGGAAGAGAAGAGTACTTTAGCCGCACCTCGGATGTTGGCAGTCAGTCATAAAAACATATATTAGAACTATTACTTCGAACTGTATGTATTGAACTGTATATACTGTAATAATTAACATCCTCTTGCTTCAAGAGTTGGAGATACACCCACCAACCTTCCAAAACAGACAATGGATGTGCGGTCTAGGAAAAAAAAGGCTTGCCTCTGTTCCAATCATCTGGGAATGTCCTCATGGTGCATAAACGACAGTGTAATGCCACCATCAATAACAGTAAGATGTGATTTCGATCAAGACTCGGGGAGAAAAGAATTCACCCACCCCAGAAGCCGCTAAGCCAATCAACTACTGAATTCAGAACACTTCTTCTATACCCAACAAGTGTCTCCCAGCTGGGGTAGAAGGGGAGAAGGGGGAGTTTGAATGAGCATTACTTCAACCCTCCCTCTCCTTCCGGCTTGGCACAACCTTACAACACCATCCACACCAACTCCTCACGTCCCCCAAACACTCCCTCTTCAAATAAAACTCCGTCTCCCTCTCATCTTCATGTTCCTCCACACACGCTCCCACCTTCACCCTCTTCTTAACCTTCTGCTTCACCTGCCCTCCCACACCCATGATCTCTTGCCTCAGATAACCGGGTTCCTCATCCCCATGCCCGTCAGCGACATGCTGAAGTATATCAGAGTGGCTGCCGCCACCACCGCTGCCGTTGCCACTGCCACCATGGTGATTATGATGGAGAGTGTTGGGGCTATGATGATCCGGATCCTCAGACATCCAGCCATCCACCTCACAATCAACCTCCACCTCAAACTCCTCCGCAGCAAGACATCTCACACCACGTCCGCACTTTACACCCTGGCAGCCATCTCCAATACTGGTGCCCAGGCCACCGCCTAGGTAAGCGCTATAGCGGGTCCTCCATGACCAAACGCGTTTGTACGTGGTATCTTCTGCTTGGAGGGCCTGGCCACATGGCCGACATAGCCAGAATGACTCTTCACAATGGCAAGAGTTGCGGTTGAATGAACCCTGCGTGAATAATGGCTGAGATTGTGTTTGCGTTTGTAGCGGTGATGCCGGACTGTTGTGGTCATGGTGGTCATAGATTGAAGGGACGTGGGGTAGGATATGGACTGATAGGGGCGCAGCTATGCACGTTGAACAGAGACGACGAAACCGGTTTCTAGTCATCGAAGTTCCCGCTGGTTTCACGGTGCAATTCTAAAATGCAAAATGCCGAAGTCAATTGAAAAGTGGGTTGTCAGCCTGAATTCCATCGTATAAAAGAAACAATAACAAAGCAGGTCCGGAATTGCGGTGGTTTTCTACTTACCCTACAGACAGTGGCGGCACATCTCTGGCACTCCGCAACCATATCTCGAGCGCAACATCCCACTCTCCCGGCGGACGTGCTCCGATACCCATTACCTGCAGAAGGAGTAGTAGTTGTATTAGCAGGCTGGGAGAAGACCAGAAAATTACCCCGCACGACATCCGCCCTAACATTCCCCGGAGAATCGCTATTGCTGCTCTCGGATGGAGAATCATCGAGAGATTCATTCCGGCAGCGTAAAGTCTCTCGAATTAGCTGCGAGCGGAAGGGTAGCAGGTTCGCACGGAATTGACGACAAGTCATGGATAGGGAATCCAGGGTATTCAAATCGACGGACCTGGCAATCTGAACTACCACACTATAGGTAGAAGAAAAGGTGAAATGTTATACTTAGCATCAACACCACCGAGGGGAATATGTTATTTCTTTCGGGCAAATTTAAAAGGAAGAAGGAGGGTTATGTTGAAGATGTCATATTTGCATACGGATAGCAGCTGAGCGCGGCTGAAAATCCATTGACGTTTGGATTTGCCGGTCCAGCATTATTGTCGTTCCTGTTTGCGGGTCTCGATTGACCCTTTATCACGCTCCACTCATCCCCGCCCTTATCGCGATCAATATCATCCTTATCGTCGTCCCTGCCACCCCGGTAGAGCTCACGACTCTCATAGATTGACATGCCACAGCCATCAGATTGTGGAAGGTGTGGTGGAAGACTCATGAGTGCTGGATTCATGGAATGCTTTGGTAGTATGACATTTGAGTGCACGCCAGGCAACAGATGATGATAGTGAAGACCTGGGGTCGTCATAACGGGAGCATCCCGCTCATGGTTGACGAACACAACCATGATGCCATAGGTCTCTGGGTCTGTCGGTGGTCTGGCTGGTGGGAAGAAGGACTCATAAAATCCCAAAGGAGAGAGAGAGAGAGAGATAAAGGAAATCTCTAGGAAGGTTTAAGAAATATGAGCATTGTGAGAGCGAGTTTGACCCGGTAAGTACCTGGCCTTCAATACACTTGGAAGATCGAGCAATGAAAGTTGGAGCCGGAAATCTAAGGAAGTTGACCGCCTTCACGTGATATGGATAACAGTCTCATACTAACTACCCCGGGCAACATACGTCACTGAAGTTAAACCCCCCCGCTCCCCACTTGTATAGCCTACCACAGGGCAGGGGGGGAGGGGGTTGGTTCCCGCCGCCAATAGCAAAAAACATGACGAGAAATATGGCGATGTGTTTGCTTGGTAGTACGAAGTAATTATAGCCGCTAGTTCCAATTGATATTTATTTTCACTCCACCCAAAAATCAAGCCAACAGAGCTCTGGAAAGCAAGTCGAGCCTTGGTCAAAGTCAATTCGAGCAGAGATCTGGCAAGTCCAGCGATGTCTCTGGTAGAAGTTAACTCGGAACCTAAGGTTAAGTATGTATGATTTGATTGCTTAAACCGTCAAGAGGTAAACAAGGCATATACTCATTCATCCATCTAGGCTAATATCTTTGGTAATACTAGCTAACCTTCCCTTTTGACGAGGCATTAAAGTAAGAATATAGAAAACGAAAACGTCACAAATCATCATCCTTATTTTTTTTAAGAAAAAATAAATAAAAATAAAATTAAAGGAAAATCATCCGAAAAACGTTGCGGTTGGAAAGGAAATAATAAGAAAAGAAGGAAATTCACGCCCAAGCAGATTATAATATAAAACAATAATCAAACATCCAAGTAAAAGTCAAGTCATACACAATTCAATGGATTAAGTACTAAATGGGGAAATGGGGGGGGGGGGGGGGGGAAACAAAAAAGAAAACCAATAGTGAGTGGAAGTTTCAGGAACATGCTCCATCAAAACTCTCGTCTGTCGACAGAATATTCTCTTTTCTTTCTTTCTTTCTTTCTTTCTTTCTCTTTTCCTTTGCAACTTCATCTAACAACGTCCATTCCTCTCTGGAGTGATGCTTCAAGGTCATTCGGATTTCTAGAGCTATCAAGAACAGCCTCCTGTGGCCGGGGATCTTCCTGCTTCCAGACTCCAGAATGATCTTCCGGGATTGGAACATTTTGTTGAGCCTGCTGAGCCGCCTGTTGCCCAGCCGCACTACCCTGCGTCTGAGAACTCTGTCTTACTTGCTGGCGGAATCGGACGACTTCATCCAAAATCATCCTCCTCATCTCTGGTACATCATCAACAACCTCAAAGTGGAAGTCGAAGGTCGTGGGGCATGATGGCTCATCAGTCGCATCGTGCCAGATATGCAGGTAGCGGTGTTCAAGAGCCTCTTCGACAGAGATACGGGAAGACGGATCAAAGGCCAGCATTCGATCTAGAAGGTCCAGAGCGTCCGGGTTCGCACTCGGAAAGAGGCGCTGGAAAGGGATTTTGTGCATGAATGGGAGATTCCTGACGTATTCTTGCGCTCGCGGGGAGCCAATGCGGGAGAGGGTTTCTTCATTGGGTGTTCCAAGGTAGTGAAGGATTTGATTAAGTTGGTCAACGTAATCACGGCCTTTGAAGAAAGGCCGGCCACCTAGGAGTTCAGCCAGAATACAACCAACAGACCATACATCAACTGTCGCAATTTATTAGCTGTTGTGAATTTGAGTGATATGTGATATCAGTGTCAATTGCAAAACTTACTAGCTTTGGTGTAGCTTGGAAAGCTTAACATGATTTCAGGGGCACGGTACCATCGCGTGGCAACGTATTCAGTCATATAGCCAGCATTCTCATCCGGATCGATGGAGAAGCCACGAGCCAAGCCAAAGTCGCAAATTTTCAGCTCGCAGTCAGCATTAACTAGCAAATTACCCGGCTTTAGATCTCGATGCAAGACATTGGCGGAATGGATGTATTTTAATCCACAAAGTATTTGGTAAATGAAGGACTGGAAGTGAGCATCTGTTAAGGGCTGTCCCGACCGGATGATTGCAGCCAGATCGCACTCCATCAACTCTGTTGTGCATACCAATTAGCAACTAATCACAACTGCGACGGGCAACCAAAAAGCACTTGCCTTCGTACAGGTAGGTCTCGTTGAAATTCTCTGGTCTGGGTATATCCATGTCATACAAACACGTGATCTATATTTTCGGTCAGCCTATTCAGCCCGT